ATCACTAACCAGCCAACGCGCTGTCGCGTCGCCGGCATGGGCGGGGTCTGGGAGAGGGGGGAGTCCTTTGCAGGCTTGAGGAAAGTCTGGGAGGAAGCCGATCCCTGAAGCAGAAGATGCTGTCGATTAGCAGGCTGTATGTGTGCTGTATGTAAACAGACCTGCTGCAAACGGCCTCATATGTTTCTGTGCGTGTGCGCGGCGGTGGGTGGGAGGCGTCCGGCCAAAGCGCAGGTACCTGATTCACAGTACGCGTGGCGTCAGGCCTCCTTGGCAGCAGGCCGCCGCTCGGTGATTTACAGCGTGCGGTGGGTGCCGGCGTCCGTTTGGGGCCGGGGGGCTTTCCGGCAGCTCAGCACACCTGCTTAGCGGCGTTTAACTGTGTAAATAAGTGGGTAGTCCCTGTCCATCCTCCCTTCAGTAATTACTGTCTGGAAACCAGACAGAAAAGCTTGTTATTGATGACTGCTTGTTTCACCCATAGCTCCGGGCCGCTCCACTCATCAGGTTTTCACCAGAAGCCCCCCTCCACAGCGCTGGGGGGCCAGAATCCTGCGGGGTCTCCGTCTGTCCCCATTCTTAAACCAACACATCGTCGGCCGAGTCAGATCTGTCACAAGGATGTTGTCGCTCTGCCAATACCTTCCCAACATATCCATCACCTCTTGTTTCCCATAGTGATGCAATTTGCTAAGCGTACGACGCTAATGTTGGTTGTTTTTCAAAGCGCCGTTAGCTTTGAGCGTGTCAGGAGTGCAGTGGATGAATTATTTTGGGGGTAGGCTATACCAAACATGCGCAAAGAGCAATTTTTTATATGAAAGTAATCTGCAGATTGTCGCGTCGTTGCTGTGGTGTTAATTACTGCATTAAAGTCTCAAAGGCTGCACCTACTGATTGATGTTGAGTGGAGCCTATTACTTCAAATGACTTTCAGAAATTGCGTTGTGTGCTTTGCCAGCTCTCCGGGATTTCATTTTGTAAAGGCCCAGTTTGTCTTAATACATTTGTTGTAATTGATTCGAGATGCACTCAAGGATGAACTATTTCACACATAAAGGCATGTTTTTGGCAGCCTGGGGGTGGGTTTTGGGATTTGGAATGGGGTCACGTGACCAGAGGTAGGGGCCTTTAATGAATGGATGGGATCACCAGAGTAGGAGTCACAGCAGATGAGGGAGTGATTCGCCACCGTCTCTCCGTAGGAGTCACAGCGGATGAGGAAGTGACTCACCTCTGCCTCTCTGTTTACAGATCAGTACCCTTCAGAAGGCCGGGGACACCTTCCCACTGACGGCCGCCTCAGGGAGAGTGCTGGGCAAGGTGAGGAGGCGCGGGGAGGCGCATGCCATACGCCGCAGAGCACAGCGGCAGTCCTCCTACCCGGGGTCTGAGCGTTGGTCCCCACCATGTTCCTTGTGCTACTCTGAGTGGGCTCTGGCTTCCTCACCTCTTCTTTCCGCAGGCCCTGCGCAGCTCAGATAAGAGCACTAAACCCGTGTACGTCTCCGTGGGCCACCGAATCAGCCTCGACACAGCCGTGCGGCTCACCAGCGCCTGCAGCCGGTACAGAGTGCCGGAGCCCATCAGGCAGGTAAGGGCTTCTGCGACTGCGAATCTTGGCCATTGTCGTAATCTGAAAAATGAAGCTTACTTTTTCAAGCTTCCAAATGGTAGCTTAATTTGTTCTGCTGTAGATGTCCAAAGAGGCGAGCTGAGGAAATGTAGGTCTGCCCCAGCTATGTCTGACGTGGCCAATTACTTCTTAACTCAGGGTGTCCCCTAGAGTACTCTGAAGATGAGTGGAGTGTGTCTTATCACATTCCTACCACTAGGCTGTGCTGTTCCACTGCAGAAGAGAAGCACCATGAGACTCTTGTTCTCATGCCTCATCCTGACTCTGCACCGCACTCATCCCAGGTCCAGAGGAACTGCAGCTGTGGCACAAGCTGTATTTTGTCTCAGCTGTCATTAACATTGTGCCTTTTCCCATGATTCCCCAGTGGTGTGTGTTTATATATAACTGACACAGAGGGCATATGTCTGCAGTGTCCAGAGGGCAAGCAATAAGATTTTATGTGGAGGCACCACGCTGTTGACTCTGAGGGTATCAGCGATGCTTTGCTTTCCAGACGGCCCTCAAGGTCGACCCTTTGGCAGGAATTCCGGCTGCTTGAGAACACGCCCACAGATGGCAGCTTCCACAGCCGGCACTGCTTTAGCTGTGGTCTGTCAAGGGGGCACAAGGAGTCATACCTTCCATGCTGTGCTGGACTTCTAGAAGCACTCTGCATGTGCCGATGGCCAGGAAGTGTCCTAAATGTTGCCCTGGTGGGGGTGGGGTGTGGGGGGGGGGGGGAGGATGCAAGGTCCAGGGACAGCAGGCCGTCCGCCAGTCGGCGTGTTTGGTTTCTGCTGGTCCTGAGCCGGTGTGGCGACCTCAAACAGTGCAGCTGGGGAGAGGTTTCTCTCAGCGTACAGTTTGTTCTGCCTCATTTCACCACACACATTAAAAACAGAAAGGGGGAGAGAGAGAGAGAGAGAGAGTGAGAGAGGGAGGGAGGAACAGCACGTGTTTCTCACACGGGTAGAAAGATTACATCACCGAAAGAGTCCGCAGCCATCATTTGCTCGTGTAGTGGGAATGCAGCTCTCCTGTTAGACGTGCTGCTCGGACAGACGGTAATTCCTGCTCATTAAAAGCTGCTTCTGATCAAATCCCTGCAGCCTTGCTGAAGAGCTCTGTAGAGAGCAGACCTTGTCATTTCTGCAGTTGATCTCCTGTAACTGATCAGACCCTGTAGTTCCAGGCACTGACCGGACTCTGGAGTTTCTGTTGCTGATCAAACACATAATGTCCTGCCGCAGAGGTCCGGCCGGAGCTGTGGTGGCCATAGAAATAGAAACAGATTTATAACGACGTGAGGGGTCAGGGTGAAGATGTGCCAGCAGCTGTCAAACTCCGGAGGGCTGAGCCTCCGCCGAGCAGCACAAGGACAATGGCGAGAGTCTGAGCGAGATCCTTAACCTGACGATGACATGACACGAGAGGCGACATGACCTCTCATCACCCCTCTTAACGCCGGACATTTTGCACAGACCCGTCGGGCTGTCTACCTTGAGGAGAGTGGATTTCTATGGGTTGGTATTAGGAGCTTCTCGTTATCCGTGACTTTGTCTGAAAATCCAGGATGGGCGTCTTGTTCGCAAGAGGTAGCTGGCCCTGAAAAATCAGGAAGCCTCACTGACAGGGCCCCCGGTCTGTCTCCTGCGGCTTAGCCTCAGCTAAACTGTTGGATGGGAGCAGGATTGGATTCCCGTGGAGAGGATAATGGTCCATGGCTGATCCCGTCTATCATCTCTTGTCTGACAGCATGTTTCTCATACTCTCACACAGCTCTTGGGCCGCATCGTGAGCACATATGTTATGGTCACGTGTTCTAGCTTTGCCATCTGGAGCATGCTCTAAACTTTGTTGACAAGATTTAAAAAAAAAAAACCTTCCCAGAAGTTACTTTGGTTGAATTATTACACTTTTGAGTCGGCAAGGTCAGGGATGTTGATTGCTGGATGAAAACTCGCGCTTGAGTGCCAGCTTTGAGAGGCGCGGTCTGTAGCTGTTCGTCCAGTCAGGAAAAAGGGGACCGGAGCAGCACCTCTTGCCTCCTGACAAGCAGAGTTTCCGTCGTTGGTCTATGACCGCGTTGAACACATGGCCGTTAATTCAAATTTAATCAAATAAGTCATTTAAGAGTTTGGCTTACTACTACAGCAGGAGTCCCGTACCATGTGATATCTGGAAATCACGGGTGTACATGGGAAATGTAGATGGCCTTCACTCCGCTAGTGCTGCAGTGACGTCCCAGAAGAGCCTGAGGCGACTTGGAGCAGGAATTTAATCTTGGGAGGGTTCAGGAAATGGTACAGAAGAATCACGTTGGGAAGACACTAGAAGGTCACGGAAACCCTGCTTTTAGATGGTGCTTGACGGCTGCCCCCCGGGTACAGAGGGCCCCCGCTCCCAGCCCAGTGCGCCTGTCATCCCTTCACCCGCCCCGGGATCCGCCGCTTTCCTTCAGGTTCAGTGGCTTCCGAAACAGTGTCATTAATGTAGGGCGGTCAGCCGTACACCAGCTGAGCTGAAACTGCAGTCAGCAGCTTCAGATTCTGGGAGCTGAAGATGCGTCGGTACCCTTGAGAGACAGTTAACCCAAATCGCTATATCAGTATCACATCCAGCTGTATAAATAGGCCGAGTTAGAACTGTAAGCACGTTTTGGTATTCTGGATATACCGTAATTATTACAGGTTGAAGTCCGTAAGAGTGGTGCTGAAGTCTTCGGTCCTGACCGAGATCGGCTTACAATCCTGGGCTTGGATACATCAGACCTGGCCCTGCCGCTATCATCAGCTAATATGCAGAACAGGCCTGGAAGGTCTGCCTGGAACTGAAGTGTGATATTTTGGAGAACCCCCACACCCCACCAAGTAATGTGAGTGGTGGAAAATCCACAATTAAGCTGTAGTAGTTACTTGCACAGCATTTGAATTAGCAAAGCACATGATGGGTATCCGACACACTGCTACTAAGACCAGCTAGTGTTGCATTTTTTTGTTTTCCATGGTTTATTTCTGATAGCAGACTATCGGTAAGGCAGCCGCTGATACACAGTGCAGGCTTTTATCCAGCAACAGGCATGAAAGCTTTTCAGTTTATTTTGTTAAGTCTCATCCGCAGAAATCCATTAACGTCATTTGCATCCTTATCAATAAGTAACTAATTTCTTGAAGACTACTCAGGCATTTCTGGGAAGCTGTTCCTGGACGCGGATGTTTTTTTCCCCTGTGGCGCGTTTCGCCGCCTCGCCCCCGTTTCCGGCTCCTGCCCCTCTTGTCGTGATCACACTCACAAACTCTGGAAGGAAGATCGATGCTTCAGTGGCCGACTGTGAGACGGTCCTCATGTGGACGGTAGGAAGTGACATGAGTGGATACATGGACGCCACGGTTGCTTTGTTTGCCCTCAGGTCGTGCTTTCCCCATGAACACTCTACTACGTCTCATGATCTGGGCTCAGACAGAGGCTCTGCTATGTCAGAGTAACTCCTACGTGTGGACTTCCTGTGTGCATTGTGGCCGTGTGTCAGCCTCTGTTAATCCACCGGCTTATATAGATAACGAGCCCATACCTGTATGTTATTCGCTCATAACGCATAAATCAGCCAATGTGGGCTTTGCTGCAGTCGATTCTGGGCGATAGCGCGTGATAACGAGATGTAAGCCTGAGGTGTGATGATGTGCTTCCACGTCAGTGAGCCCTTCTCTCGGACACTTGGGGTCTTCACAAAGGTCTCATCAGCCCCCGTGGTGGGGAGGGGGGAAAAGACAGGGGCTGAACAATCTGAAGGCTCTTGAATTCTCCCGACTCTACCGGATGATGACCGCAGACAGTATAAATCATAACAATGATTAAAAAGTTAATTTCCAGTCGTCTGCTGAGAACAATGAGCGTTTCATGGGAAAGGCGGAAATCCTCATTACGCGGGCGGAATGTGAATTTCGCTTTGAGTTATTTCAAAGAGCCGTTGGAGAGACCTCGCCTCTCAATTAATCTGCATGGGAAATGGGATTCTCCTGCTCCTTTCCATTCAGAAGGTCTCTCACTTGAGCCCCCTCTCTGTCCCCTCGCGGCATGACTTTGCCAAAAGCCAGCTGCTGGCAGACGCTCGTCTTGGTCATAATTGTTCTAGCTAAAGACACAGTACTCATCCAGTCGTCAGCCTTGACATCTCAAAGGAGCTTAAGGGAATTCATGCCAGTGGCCTGTTGAGACCTAAAGGCCACCTGGTCCACAGGATCTACGTTCCTTCTCAGGGCTGGTAATCAAGTGTGACAGATTCCAGTCACTACTATGATGTACCAGGCAAGCATGAGAACAGCATTGCCCACAGATTTGTTATTCATGCTGTAATTTGACCACCATTTGCTGATTGCTTTCTGGTTAAGGGTTGGTCACCACAACTATGTGTACAATGGTAATGTGCTGTGTTCTTCACAACATTTGCTTTGCAGCAGAGGCCAAACGCTCTAAATTGAGTTGGCAGGTGGTGGGTCTTATTTAATACCACAGTACTGTTGGGTTCCAGTTGTTACGGGACCTTTTGTAACCGCACCATTAAAGTCCTTCGTGTGCATCATTCGCTGAGCTCGTCTTCTTCCAGGCACTTGTGACCAAGGTGCTTGTTTGGGCAAAGCCGCAGAATCAATCATCAGTTTAGCCGCAGTATTCCAGCACCCCGAATCGTTAAGAGCCACCGCTGCAGAAGCAGGTTTTATCACCTGTCTGCAGAGCAGCAGAAACAAGGCGAGAGAAAAAGGTAAAGAATGGAGCCGATGGACGTGTGAAGGGTTTCTGTGGGAGAACAGAGCATCTTGTCGTAAGGCCGGGGCACCAGTCCAGAACTCCCATAATCCTCCCTGGCAGCCTGATGGAAATTGCACTAGACTTTGAGACTGGGGACTGCATAGCAGGCTGTGTATGCTTGTGCCCCTTCCGAAGTAGGGCTAGGGTCACATGCAGCTCTGTGGGGTGGTAGTTTGGGGCAAGAGTGCAACCTACCAGGCCCCCCAGCACTCCTGTACTGCGTCTCTCTCTCTCTTTCTCTCCTTCCTCATCTTCTTCTGCTTTCCCCTCCTACTCAGACGGTCCGGCTCGCTTCGCTCCTGTAACGGGGGAGGAGGCTGAAGAGTAGGAGCGCAGTGGAAATAAGTGCTGAGTTTGATGGCAAACGCAGAGCCAGTGAGTTTGAAAACGGCCCTCTGTCTTCCGATGTTTTTTTTCCTAACTTTCATGCTAACTTTTCCCATAAACAGCAAAAGACTTTTTCTGCTGTTGTTGTTGTGGTTAAACTTCTCGGCAGACTATAATTACGGTGCCGTGTGAAGGGAACTCATTTGTGTCTTGTGCTATAAAATAAATCAGGGAACAAATTAATCCCAACATAAGCAAACCTGACCAACGCCAATGAAAAGTCTCAGAGCTGCCTCCTGGCATCAGAAGGGGCTTCCGGCCAGGCTGGGGCTACGCTCCCAGGCTCAAAGCAGCTGACCTTCTCCTGACTTTAAAAATGAGAACGTCTGGAAATAAGTCCTCGCATTTAAGCTATTGATTGGCATCCCATCCAGGGTGTACCCCAGCCTTGTGCCCTGTGCTATCTAAGACAGGCCCCTGGCCCCCCATGACCTAGATATGTGCCTGGAAGATGAATGGGACCAGTTCATTTTTTGTCAGCTGGCTTCCATGTTTATGGGACGCCAGAATCACGTGTTTCTTTTATGTGCTGACCTTTATATATGTATTTTTTTTGTACATTTCTGTCAATGTTGACATCTAATATTGCAGCTGGAGCAATTCCTTGACAGGCCTGTTTGCTGAGCAGGCTGCGTGTGCAGTGGGACTAACGTGCTGGCATGTGCTCCCACTCGCAGGCTGACATGCGCTCCAGGGAGTACCTGCGCACACACTTCCCATCTCAGGGCACCTGAAGGCAGACGAAGCCGGTAAGTGGGAGTAAGAAAGTGGGCAGGGTTTAAATTGGAAGTGGGCGGGGTTTCCATTTGGAAGTGGGCGGGGTTTCCATTTGGAAGTGGGCGGGGTTTAGATTAGGAGTGGGTGGGATTAGGGCGGGGAGGTCAGCCCCAGAAAGTACACGAGTGGGGGGATATGCATGTGGGTTGGCTTGAAGATGAACAGCATGGCCGCAGGTGATGGAGAGGTATGGCAGGGGACAGACTGGTAATGTACGTAAGCTACTGTCACAACCAATCTGTGTCCTAGGTGACAATGACTGGCGTCACGGCTGCCTCCGTCTGGCCACATTGTGCCTGTGCTCCGGCTCTTGGGGGTGGTGCACGTCTAACCCGAGGTTCTGAGCTGAGGGGCGGGGCTTGCTGATGCAGCCTTGCGAGAGGTCATGCCTCGCCTTTGATCTGCCTCTCATCCTGAAAAGGATGTGTCTATAAGAAGGGCCACCCGTCCCACCTCCCATCCCGCCATCAAAGGCCGTTCGTCGTCATGAACAGTACAGAATCCCTCCCCCGATGGGCACTGGCTTGCAAAGGGATCCTTTGAAATGAATATTTTCCGCACCTCTCCCGGCCTCGTTCTCCTCCACAGAAACATCATTTCTCTTCATCCCTCTCACTCCTTCAAATTTTCTGTCATTCCTGCAACAAAAGAAAAGAAACACAAACTTTTTGAAGAGGTGGCTGTGTTGTCCTCATCTAAAGGATTTTCTTTGACAGAAATTAATTTAGCAAGCTGTTCTCTCTCTGCACACTTCGGCCGCCTCCCTCCCGCCGGGCTCGCCGCTTTCCCCGGCCCTCCCACACGGTTGCCGTCACGTCGTGGACAGCAAGCCGGCATCCGCTCGCCGCATCGCCGGCTTTGCTACGTGGCGAAGCTCACGGAGCGCGGGGGGCCAACCGGGGGGCGCTGCTCTATGTGGGAAATTGCCCACGGCGTCAGGAGACAGGCCGATGCGCGGTTGCCCTTTTGGGCCTTCATGATGCCACGGGTCCCCTGGCTGGTACACGTTTCGTTCTCTGATGGCTTTGACAGAGCAATCAGCCAGAAGAGGGCCGCGTCTGCGCTCCACCTATTAGCGATACGAAAAAGGTTAAACCCGTAGACCTTCTTTACACTGCCGTTGTTATGCTAAGATACAGCATCAGATCAGTCCCGCAAAACTGGCAGAGAAATAATTAATTTCTGGGGGGGGGGAGAGGGGGAAACGAAGGGTTGGAGCCAGATTCAGCCAGTTGAAGGCTTGTGGGAGCTGCTTTGGGTTTGGACCGGCAGTGCCGGGATAAGGAGGTGCAGAGCAGGATGGAGAGGGATGATGAAAGATAAGGCGGTGGGGGGGAGATGGGAAGAGAGCTGGAGGATGCCGGAATGATGAAAGATGGAAGAACGTGACTGACGCTACCAGCCTCCCCCCCCCCCTCCCGACAGTGTTAAGAATTCCGGAATCACCGTCGTCTTCCCTTAGCACCCCAGGGACACCAGCATACCATTAATAAACTCGCTGGCCACGCTCGCCTGACCCCGTGATGGACTCCTCCCGGAATTGGCAACGCAGCGGCAGGTGAAAGGCCTGCGTCTGCTTCCAGCCAGGCCTTCCTTCCCCTCACGGCCCCGGGGAGGCCTGGGGAGAGCGGGGGGTTACCGGGACCATTAGCTTCGTAATGAGAGTGAGGGGGGTCGGCGAAGGGGTTTCTAATTAAGGCCATACCCACGTACATATTTTAGCGCCTGTTCCCAAACAAGCAAATGTCATGAAAATGTCAGGAGACGTGTTTAGCAGGGCCTCCCAGCGGCGGCCGCTGATTGGTTCAGCAGGGAGTTTGCGGGTCATTATCTGCGTGTCCTGGATGCGGGAGACCTCTGCATTAATGCTGATGTTTGGCTCTCTCTCCCCTGTCCCCTACGCGCCCTGGCGTCTCCCTGCCTTCCTTAGCTTTGGATCTGTGTGTCTCTCGGCGTGGTGTCCCTGCCCATTCTGTGTGTGCCCAGGCTGAAGAAGGTCCTTTCCTGCTGACATAAGATTATTTTTTAACCTTTAATGCAACTAAAACTGATAATTTTTACCATATGTTTGGTTCACAGTTGCTGGCTTTTACATCTTTTTCGTTTTAGTAAGTTTCGACAAAGTGCAAACATAGCTGGGAGCACAGTCGTCTGGGAGGTCGTCGTCAGCTGTTTGTGTTAAAAGCGGGGGGGGGGGGGAATCTCATTTGAGGAGGGAAAGGCCTTTCTGCCTGGGCACCCTGTCTGCACATAGCCACCGGCAGAGCGAGTAGCTGTGTTAAGCTGCCCTCGTTAAGGAGACTTGCCTCGCAGAGTGCTCCAAAACTCCGTCCCCACGGTTACCACCGTTTCAGAAGGCCAGGTTGTCCCCGTTGAGGATTTGTTGGGGGTAATGCGAGTCGGGGGGGCCTGCTCTCTGCCATGCTGAATAATTCAGTAGCAGCCCTTTGCTGTTCACTTTCCCCAGATTTCGGGCCCACAGGCTTATCTGGCTTTCCTCTCCACCTCCTCCCTTGTTCTCCTCATCAAATTTTACTGTTACACACGGTTTAGTTTCTCTTTTATCCGGTCACCACGCATCACGGTACACTAAATATTCTGCAGGACACTTTCCTTTGCTCTAATGAGGGCAGCTTTGTTGAGCTTAAAACGTGCCTCTTACCCTAAATTCAGAGGTTGATAATTCAAGTCCAGATTTTGTTCCAGCCAAACAGTTGAGTACTATGTGACCCTGAATCTTTATACTCAACTTGTTGGATGAAACATAATCTTGGTCTGGACTTTTACATTCTGCATCTAAACTATCTACCTCTGCCTAAATTCCTGTTCTTCTATCTCCACATAAAACATTGATGTTTGAGAAAAGTCTGGGTGAAAAGCCCCCCCTGCCCCCCAGCCTGAAGCCAGTGTGGTGATATCTGGAAGCAGTTTGTCCCACAGCATGCATGGAAGCTGAAGTTGGGGGGCTCCACCAACTAGGCTGCAACGCAAGGTGTCGGCCCATTGGACCAGAGAGGAGCAGCAGGCGTTAGTGAGCACAAGCCCTCCTTATGCATTTTCTCATGTACTAGGTGTTCTTCGGGTATTTATTTAATTTTTTTGCATTTTTCACACTTTCCTATGGCCTCCTTGTAGTTCCGTAAAGAACGGTCCGTCTGTGGAGGCTTGAAAAATAAAGAGCGCTGGCTTCATTTTTCACTTGGCTTGAAGTCTGCAAGACAGCGGTGTGCTGAACACCTCAGTGATAGCAGGAGCAATTGCCAAGACAGGAGGAAGGTGAATGGGGAGCATCGGAGGGAGAGTGATGATTCAGAGTAAAAAAGTAAGAGGGCGGACAAAGAGGGATGTAAAAGATCACAAGGTCAGAAAGAAGGGAAAAAGGACCAGACCGCCAATGAGAAGCAAGCATTTGATTAAATGATTGGAGGAATGGGGTGTCTATATTTTTTGGTGGGGGGGGGGTCACCAAGGATGCACTTACATTGTCTTTGTTGTTGTCATCTCAGACTGCAGTGCTTAATGAAAAGACATTAAGCCATAATGTACAAGGAGCTAAATTTGTAACCGAAAGAAGATGTGCAGCATTAGAGCAGAAGACATGTTGCAGGGCCTGAGGGAGTCTGTGGCCAAAATGTTCTGCGCTGTGGATGCTTGATATCCACCTTTATAAATGGGTCACATATTACATGTTTCATAAAATGATACCCCACGATTGCTTTGTGTTGAAGTGTAATGATACCTAATGTATTGCCATAGAGGTCTTTGAAGCTTGACATATGCACTGATGACGCACACATCTTCGGGGCGTGAAGGTGAAGGCGGAATAAAAAGTATCACGCGGGGGAAGGAGGCCTCCGGGAACACGGTGCGGTGTGCCGCGTTTTATTTATCCCTGCTTTGTGGAGGAATGGAGACGGGGATCCCTGAAGAGGACACTGTATTCCCTGTGCATTCAGCGAGTGAGGCTCAGTGTCATCACACCCAGGCCACTGTTAGCGGCTGCTCTTTAGCCCGGCAGTGACCCCGTTCGACATGCTAGCAGGGCCTCCCTCTGCCTGACAGCAGGAAACATCATATCGCCCCCTCGGCGCATCTCAGAAGCCTGACTGATACGTTTCCATCCTTGGGGACAGACACCGCATTCCGGTACCCCGTTTAATATCACTTACTGTAGTGAGGCCGCTGCGGTGACATTTCGACATGTTTTACTACCTTGGATTAGTTGCTGCACTATATCATTGCTGCCGGCAAGACTTACGTTTTGCGCTGGTCTTGTTGCCTCTACTACAAACACTGACATAGGCTTGGAATTGAAAACTCAGCGATGCCTTTTTTTAATCACTTTCGTAGAAATCTATAGTCTCGTTCACTTCAATTAAAACATTACGACTTCGGAAGGACAGTTGAGTGAAACTCCGTCTTGGGAGTTTGTGCTTTGTTTTTCACGAACGCCCTTCTGAATTCCTCGCTGCTTGATTAGCCCGCTTTAGGGTCAGTGCTGTTTGACAAGCAGTTTCTCCTCCCCTTCGCTGTTCTTGTCAGCCCCCAACATCATCCGCTGGTAATCGGCTAACTTGTTGTTGAGGTCTCTGTTGGAGCTGCCTCCGCCGCGGTTCTCTCTGCTTCCTTGATCTCTGTTTTCCGTTCGCACTTTGCAGATCCCCTCCTGCCAGTCTGGGTCATCAGCCTCTCCAGCCTCCCCAAGTGGCATTGCATCAGTGCTCTGCGCTCAGGAAATGTCCAAGGCTGTCTCAAGATTTAAATTAACAGGGCTGAGGACCTGCTAGTCTTTGTTTTCTGACCTGCTTTTGCTTGCTGTTAGGTAACTTCCTCTTATTAGTGCCGTTTCGAACATTCAATAACAGAGATCTGCTCTTGGTCACTGGTATGTGTCTTGTATATATACACAAATGCAGTGCTGTGAAAGTATTTTCCCAAATAAAGGCATAATTAGGGACAGCACTTTAAATAGTTTGAAAAACAGGCAGGCATGATTCGAGCCAGCCCTGCCCAAAATAAATCTAAGACCAAGTTTGGCTCTTAGCATCAGAGTGAAGTTGTCAGTTTGCAAGTCCTAGAATTGCATCATGCCACAATCAAAAGAAATTCCTGAAGGAAACTGTTGATCGCTATGTCTAGAAAGTCTCTGAAGACTCCAGGGCACCAGCAAACCGCAATGTTCAAATGAAAAAAAAAATAGTGAGTTTTTGTAGAAGTGGCCATACTGCCAACATCCGTACAAGTATGAAGTGTACACTCTCTGGAAGCTACAAAGAACCGAAGAACAATATCTATGGATATACAGCACACCTCTCTCAGCCCTCATGAGCTGAGTGGATATATGGTAAGGTAGCCGACGTGATCAGTATCCACATTCTGCGGACAGGTGAATCAGAAGTGGATCTTTTGGGCTGACATAGGCCTTGTCACTTCTGCAAACCTAATAATACATCCCAAGGTATCACACGGTAGTCACCGTGTCTGCGCTGTTACAGTTCTGGCATTGCTTTTTCGCATGAGGAATTGGGTATGGAATTGGGCTTAAAATCTTTAAGCATCAAAGCGGTGTGTTAATTGGTGACTTGGATTCTCTTACGTAATGTTCAGTCTTGCCTGGGTACAGTCTGCGCTAGTGGGCTTTCTCTGTTAGTTTGGTTGCTTCTCGTGTTTATCCATGTGAAGCGTGAACGTCTTCCAAGCAGGTGGACGTGATGAGCCTACGCCTTCTGCTCTGTGAGAGGAGGACGGCCAGCGGTACGGGACAGTAACGGCTGCTTATTTCCCGTGAGCAGGGTTCCGGGAGTCATCCGCCCCCGTGCTGCACTGACACATCGGGAGAACGTACGCACTCCACCGGAGCTCTTTCCCGTAGGCCTGTCTCTCGTTCGACTGCCGTCCTCATGTCTGGCTTTAGGAACGGGGGGGAAGAAACGCATGCAGCGGAGGCACTGTGATGCATGGCGCCTCCCGTGGGGCTGTTGCCGCGTGTGCATGTGGGGGACGGTCATGTGACCCATCCCGCCACTCACCGGGTGCCATCTCCAGGCCTGGATACCACTGCGCACTGACTGCTGGTTTGTTCTCAAACCTTCTCCGTTTGCTGAGAGTTAAAATAGCAGCAGGCTTGCAGCATTGGATCGGTGGAAAGTGGAGCAGTAGAGTTTATACTCTCTGGGGAACCTGTGGTCAGGCCTGCCTAGGCTTGGCCTGGGATTACGCCCATTAATATGATGGTACAGTTAGCATCCTCTGTCCTTTAATTAATATGCCTATGCCGTTATGTGTCTGAAAGGCTTGTCCTGCACTATAAATAAGTGGGATTTTTCTCCAGTCAGCACAACAATTGAGTTGTTAGGTCAGGGTCATATCTGCAGTATTAAAGCCCCGCACCTCCCTGGCACTGTGGGTGACCCTGACGTAGAGTCTCCATTCCATCCATGTTCTAATCATGTTCTGCTCGCAGATCCTGAGGCTGCCTGTCCTGCCCCCTGCCTCTCCTCTTCTGCAGCCTCCTGAGAGGCATCTTACCCCCTGCCTGGGCATGACTGCCTTCGTGGAGATGTGTCCTCCTGGGGTAGTTGATTTGATTGGCTGTAATGCTGAGGGGGGGAGGGGTTGTCAGAGTGGGGGGGATGCATATGCAGGGTTTTGGAGGCTCCATTGCCGGGGGGGGGGGTGCTTTAGCTGTCTCTGATAGTCAGTGACGTTGCACGCAGCACTCAGCAGTCTGTTTGCTCACTGTATCTCTCTCCTTCCAGGCTCTTTTTCCGTTAGATTTAATGCATGAGAATGGTTCTGACAGCCTTGCTGTCTCTGAGGGGGTCTCCATGCAATGGCCTTGGTCCTGAAAAATGCCTCTGATGAATATTCTGTTCATTAAGTTGCTGTTATTCATGATTTGGGCCTCGTGTGGCTCCTCTCTCTCTCTCACTCTCTCTCTCTCACACACACACACACACACACACACTTTTGTCCAACCTTACATCACAGCCCTCGTTATTTTGGATCTTATCAAAGGAAGGTAGTCTTTCTCTGGCCTCTGTCAGGAATTTCGTCGATGTGTTAGACGGAGTCGAAGGAAATTCCGGTCATGTGACACGACCAGCTGCCTTTGGTCTGTGTATCTGGCCCTGCATAGGAAACGTACCTCACAGTCTTCTGGGCTGTTAGCTTCAGCTTCAGTGATTCACCTAAAGGTCTATTACGACTTGGCGAGTCAGGCAGCACTTTGGGACGGGATTAATTTATGCATGAAGAGCAACTCATCTGTCATCATAAAAGGAGGGGCTCTCCTGATTAATGGAAGCAAATGTTGAGGAATGATATCAAAGAAAATATATTATAAAAAAAAACTTGTTACATAATACATCCAAGGCTATATGCTGTTATAAAACAAACAAAACCAGCTGAAAAAAACACGAAAATTGAAGTGAGCAGATTAAGCCTCCAGTAGTGTTTTTTTCTTTTTGACGCCAGTAAGCTAGCGATTGGATTGGAGCATCATCATACATATTTACACGCAGGATGTGACATAACATGGTTGGGATCTGTAATCTGATGGAGAGGTCCTGAGCTGGCCGCCTTTCCACTCCGCTGTCCAAATACTTCCGTTCTCTCAGTTGATTACGCTACAGACAATGGGGAACTACATGCTGGGTATTCAGAAGAAGGAAAGAAAAAAAAACCTCACTTTTGGTGAAATTGTAGGGCGTGAAATCTGGACATTGGTGAAGCAGGACAAGAAGAACATTGATGCCTGTGAACTTTGCTGCTGGAGACTGATGGGTTGCAAGAAACAATAATCAAGCCATAACTTTCACATGAAGCATAAATGACTAGATTTATATATTTTAATATAATGCAGAGCGGCAGGGTGGCCAACACTCTTGCCTCGCACTTCGAGAGCTGGGAGGGTCACATCCCACCTCCCTTCTGGGTATACAGAGTTGCGTGTTCTCCTGTCACATGTGTGACACGTTTCCCCATGCAGTATGAAGACATGCTTTTTGCCATCTAAATGTTCCCTAACGTGCATATATTAAGTCCTGGGATAGGCTTCAAGTTCCCATGTGACTCTGGCTAAGAGGGGTTAGATGATGGATGGATGGATGGATAGATGGATGGATGGATGGATGGATGTGGAGGCCTAGTGCCTTGGGGAAAAAAAAGGCCCAATGTTTAGAAAAGTAGAAGGTAGAAGAGGTAGAGGATGACTAGCAATATGGAGGATTGGGAAGCATGGAGAAACAGACAGAAGACCTTCTGGAGGAGCGCTGTCTCCATGAGGTCTCCAAGGATCAACTTGACGCCACCTAATAATAATCCTTAAGAGTCGTGTACCATGACTCCCTGAGTGGGAGAAGAGGCTCAGTACATGTCCATCCACCTGCCTGGATGTGAGCCTCGGAGGTGTCACTCGTCACCAAAGTTCAACAGGGGGCGTTGTGCCTCTTCAAGCAATCCCCCAGACTGTGATTGGTGCCCCCAATGAGAGATTATTAATGCTGAAGTACAGCAGCTCTTCACCAGCACATACAAAGATATGTTTACTACGGTCTGCCTGCAGAGAAAATGTAAAAATATTGCAAATGTTTATGGGAATCTTTTTTTCCCCAGAGTGAAATATTTTACACAGCCTCTGTGATGGTAATACCCTGACCTGCATCGCAAAGCAGTTGCAGACTCATTTGCAGGGTGGAATCTGCTGACTCCAGCACATAATGTTATTTGTGCGTGTGTGTGTGTGTGTGTGTGTGTGTGTGTGTGTGTGTGTGTGTGTGTGTGTGGGGGGGGGGGGGGGGGGGGGGGGGGTTGCATAAACTCAACACGATGCCACTCGTTGCCACTTATCGACGGCACAGAACAGAGAGACCTCAGCGGGCTGGATGACCTGCCTGCACCTCCCCCGAAGATCAATAGCTTAATCGGAACAGCACAGCCGTTGTCATTGGAGGACATGTGTACGTGTATTTCCGTGACATCAGGGTGTTGCTATTTTTGATTGTGTGATGCGTATGGTGGCATACTCCCCCCCCCCCCCCCCCCCGGCTTTGTGGTGTGTGGGGATTGTTGGAACAGGAGAGGTCATGCACCCAGATCGTCAGAAGTTCTAGGCGTGCATATATTGATATCAACATACAGGAGTTTCTCAGGTTCCCATCCATTCTCAGAACCCTGTGCTGGGATTCTTAATTAAGTGCACTCCTCATTTACCATATAAATGGCTAGTGCCCCCCCACCCCCGAGACAAGCAATAATCAAAATCGCCCCACAGGACCCACACCACTCCTGTGACTCCACTGGGATATGCCCACTGTTATGCAATCGGCCACTCCCTGAAGTGCTCAGTGGGGGTGTTACATTTGAGGGGGAGGGTTTGGGGGAACAGAAATCCCACGTAGGAATGAAACATTACAGAGATTAAAAACCACATGCTTGAGAAGATTTGAGGGAGTGTTTAGCCCACCGTGGGCCATTGGTAACACAGTGACGGGCTTGTCTATGTGGGGGGCCGTGTTCAATGGTGGCTTAACCACGATTCCCAGAAATGCCTCCTATGTTGGGTCTGCGGGGGCTCCGGTGGCGCTAATGCTTTCAGCCAGAGCCTGAGAGCAATAGGATGCCAGATTCCAGATTCACCCTTTCAGAAAGTATTAAGCGGGATCTTCATTCAGAATCCAATTACTCTTTATATTTAATATACTCTAAGCCAGACAGAGTGGAACGCTGAAGTTAAAGGATAACGGGATGGTAAGCGCATCTCTGAGGGAATTTATTTTTAGTGCGACAGGAGAATTCTTGTCCTACAGAGGTTGAGGTTGATAGGTGGATGATCAAATCACGCATCCTGACAAGGACAGCTGGACATACGGCTCTCAGATCAGTTAACTTCGTCCTTAAAATGAGCCGAAAATAATAAATTCTAGGTAATGAATATAACGAAAACACATGCAAGTCATCCATTTATACCCGTTGCCATGTGTCCTGGACTTTTTCTGTCATTTCTGATTTGCAGCTGGTTAGCTGTGCAGTACTTGTTGCCTTGTTGTCACTGGGTCTTCTCTGCGATTACCTGCATTCCCACGTCATACAGAGGGAGAAAGATGAGACTCAGAAAGTAGAAATCCAGACCAGTGTTTTGTTTCAACCAACCGGCGGAGTGTAAAGAGTCACAGTCATACTCAACTGATTGGTTGAAACAAAATCTTGATCTGGATCTGTACTTTCTGAACCTCTGCCATAATAGATCTTGCTTTAAAAATGTCCCAGGTTGTAAGTTACTTTTCAGTTACACCAAGCAGCGACTCCTTGTCTGCTCCCATTCTTAGACTGGTGCTTTGGCGAGAACATCGCACAACATGGCAGTTTTACCCTGGCAACAGTTCAAATTGCAGAGATGCCCGGAAATGGGTAAATGTAGCCACGTGCCCCTATTAAGCGTAAGTGTAATGTACTTATGAAGTACCCATGTGGTTCTCTAAATGCACAGAGAGACTGCTACAGCTCCTGCCGTTTGTTTGCAGCTTAATAATAATTCGATGACATTGTTAGCCTAACTAAATAAAGTCAGTCCCTTGATGTCCTAGCTTCTGAAATTGGTTTTTGCTGTGGAACGTTCTTGGCCGCTGTCTGCTGTTTGTTTTTCACCGAGAACAAGGCCCTAACAAAGAAGGTGCTAAACACCACGTGTTTCACATGTGCCGAGGTAGCATGGCAAGGCAAGATTTCACTGTATATCACAGACAGTCAGCACTGAGCATAAAGCAGCAGGGCACTACAGCATAAAAAGCCGTAGTTGGTCCAAGAACGCAGCAGAAGGCCAGACGGCTTGGGAAATATACAGAGGAACCTTTTGACTTAAAATCCGTAGTTTACAGCTATCGCTGAGTAACCGCTCCGTCTTCTGAAGTCGGTGAGGGAGTCAGCAAGTTTTCTCACGGTGACATCATGCTTCACTGGAGTGTGTCTTTATATTTATATAAGATATTAGCTTGACTTTCGTCTATATATCCATGGAGATGAACACGATGGGTAAAGTGTGATATAGTGTGTGAGACCGCAGATTACAGGATGCAATGACATGACTGGACATGTCAGCACAGCATAATTTGGAGAGAAGCCAAACTAAGGTGCCGTTTGCAGGATGACGACCGCAGACAGAATTAGATGATATGGGGAGGTGGAGGGGATGCGTTTCCAGGTTATTACAGGACAAAGGGAAGCACAGCCAAAGATGGGGAGACCGGAACAAAGTCATTGCAGGTAGAAGAGTATTGTTTCGGCAGGGAAGAAGAAAATCAAACAAAAACGGTTCTCAGCCATCGGGACTGTCAGTCTTCAGCAGGGTCTGGACTTACCGGGGGTGTAAAAAACACAGACTCTTATATAAGCAGGGAAAACAGCGATCGGTTGGAAGAAAATCTAATGCAAAGGCATGAGAGAAGGTCCGGCCGGTGGCCCCTTGAGATGAGCTGTGGATTGCGTGCAGAGATCCAAGCGGTAGAAGGAAGGCATGGTGTGCGTAACAGGGCTGCTCACTCAGTCGGGTCGCCGCTACCTTTTAATAGCCCCTTG